ACGTCCGTGGTGCGGGTGACGTCTGTGGTGCGGGTGACGTCCGTGGTGCGGGTGACGTCCGTGATGCGGGTGACGTCCGTGATGCGGGTGACGTCCGTGGTGCAGGTGACGTCCGTGGTGCAGGTGACGTCCGTGATGCGGGTGACGTCCGTGGTGCAGGTGACGTCCGTAATGCGGGTGACGTCCGTGATGCGGGTGACGTCCGTGAAGCGGGTGACGTCCATGATGCGGGTGACCTCCGTGATACGGGTGACGTCCGTGATGCGGGTGACGTCCGTGGTGCGAGTGACGTCCGTGATGCGGGTGACGTCCGTGGTGCGGGTGACGTCCATGGTGCGGGTGACGTCCGTAATGCGGGTGACGTCCGTGGTGCGAGTGACGTCCGTGATGCGGGTGACGTCCGTGGTGCGGGTGCCGTCCATGATGCGGGTGACCTCCGTGATGCGGGTGCCGTCCGTGGTGCGGGTGACGTCCGTGGTGCGGGTGCCGTCCATGATGCGGGTGACCTCCGTGATGCGGGTGCCGTCCGTGGTGCGGGTGACGTCCGTGGTGCGGGTGACGTCCGTGGTGCGGGTGACGTCCATGATGCGGGTGACGTCTGTGGTGCGGGTGCCGTCCGTAATGCGGGTGACGTCCGTGGTGCGGGTGACGTCCGTGATGCGGGTGACCTCCGTGATACGGGTGACGTCCGTGATGCGGGTGACGTCCGTGGTGCGAGTGACGTCCGTGATGCGGGTGACGTCCGTGGTGCGGGTGACGTCCATGGTGCGGGTGACGTCCGTAATGCGGGTGACGTCTGTGGTGCGAGTGACGTCCGTGATGCGGGTGACGTCCGTGGTGCGGGTGCCGTCCATGATGCGGGTGACGTCCGTGATGCGGGTGACGTCCGTGGTGCGGGTGACGTCCGTGATGCGGGTGACGTCCATGGTGCGGGTGACGTCCGTGATGCGGGTGACGTCCGTGGTGCGGGTGACGTCCGTGGTGCGGGTGACGTCCGTGGTGCGGGTGACGTCCATGGTGCGGGTGACGTCCGTGGTGCGGGTGCCGTCCGTGATGCGGGTGACGTCCGTGGTGCGGGTGACGTCCGTGATGCGGGTGACGTCCGTGGTGCGGGTGACGTCCGTGATGCGGGTGCCGTCCGTGGTGCGGGTGACGTCCGTGATGCGGGTGACGTCCGGGGTGCGGGTGACGTCCATGTTGCGGGTGACGTCCGTAATGCGGGTGACGTCTGTGGTGCGAGTGAGGTCCGTGATGCGGGTGACGTCCGTGGTGCGGGTGCCGTCCATGATGCGGGTGACCTCCGTGATGCGGGTGCCGTCCGTTGTGCGGGTGACGTCCGTGGTGCGGGTGACATCCGTGGTGCAGGTGACGTCCGTGGTGTGGGTGACGTCCGTAATGCAGGTGACGTCCGTGATGCGGGTGATGTCCGTGATGCGGGTGACGTCCGTGGTGCGGGTGACGTCCGTGATGCGGGTGCCGTCCGTGGTGCAGGTGACGTCCGTGGTGCGGGTGACGACCGTAATGCGGGTGACGTCCGTGGTGCGGGTGACGTCCGTGATGCGGGTGATGTCCGTGATGCGGGTGACGTCCGTGATGCGGGTGACGTCCGTGGTGCGAGTGACGTCCGTGATGCGGGTGACGTCCGTGGTGCGGGTGACGTCCATGGTGCGGGTGACGTCCGTAATGCGGGTGACGTCCATGGTGCGGGTGACGTCCGTGATGCGGGTGACGTCCGTGATGCGGGTGACGTCCGTGGTGCGGGTGACGTCCATGGTGCGGTTGACATCCGTAATGCGGGTGACGTCCATGGTGCGGGTGACGTCCGTGATGCGGGTGACGTCCGTGGTGCGAGTGACGTCCGTGATGCGGGTGACGTCCGTGGTGCGGGTGCCGTCCATGATGCGGGTGACCTCCGTGATGCGGGTGCCGTCCGTGGTGCGGGTGCCGTCCGTAATGCGGGTGATGTCCGTGGTGCGAGTGACGTCCGTGATGCGGGTGACGTCCGTGGTGTGGGTGCCGTCCATGATGCGGGTGACCTCCGTGATGCGGGTGCCGTCCGTGGTGCGGGTGCCGTCCGTGATGCGGGTGACGTCCGTGGTGCGGGTGACGTCCGTGGTGTGACATGCTGGGGTGTCATGGATGCGACTGGAAGGGGCCCGGGGGGCACATGCTGGGGTGTCGTGCATGCGACTTGAAGGGGCCCGGAGGGCCCATGCTGGGGTGTCATGGATGCGACTGGAAGGGGCCCGGAGGGCCCATGCTGGGGTGTCGCGGTACGACTGGAAGGGGCCCGGGGGGCCCATGCTGGGGTGTTGTGGATACGACTCGAAGGGGCCCAGAGGGCCCATGTTGGGGTGTCGCGGATCCGACTCGAAGGGGCCCGGAGGGCCCATGCTGGGGTGTCGCAGATGCGACTGGAAGGGGCCCGGAGGGCCCATGCTGGGGTTTCGTGGATGCGACTGGAAGGGGCCCGGGGGGCCCATGCTGGGGTGTCGTGCATGCGACTGGAAGGGGCCTGGGGGGCCCATGCTGGGGTGTCGCGGATGCGACTGGAAGGGGTCCGGAGGACCAATGCTGGGGTGTCATGGATGCAACTGGAAGGGGCCCGGAGGGCCATGCTGGGGTGTCGCGGTACGACTGGAAGGGGCCCGGGGGGCCCATGCTGGGTTGTTGTGGATACGTCTCGAAGGGGCCCAGAGGGTCCATGCTGGGGTGTCGCGGATGCGACTGGAAGGGGCCCGGAGGGCCCATGCTGGGGTGTCATGGATGCGACTGGAAGAGGCCCGGGGGGCCCATGCTGGGGTGTTGTGGATACGACTCGAAGGGGCCCAGAGGGCCCATGTTGGGGTGTCGCGGATCCGACTCGAAGGGGCCCGGAGGGCCCATGCTGGGGTGTCGCAGATGCGACTGGAAGGGGCCCGGAGGGCCCATGCTGGGGTTTCGTGGATGCGACTGGAAGGGGCCCGGGGGGCCCATGCTGGGGTGTCGTGCATGCGACTGGAAGGGGCCCGGGGGGCCCATGCTGGGGTGTCGCGCATGCGACTTGAAGGGGCCCGGAGGGCCCATGCTGGGGTGTCATGGATGCGACTGGAAGGGGCCCGGAGGGCCCATGCTGGGGTGTCGCGGTACGACTGGAAGGGGCCCGGGGGGCCCATGCTGGGGTGTTGTGGATACGACTCGAAGGGGCCCAGAGGGTCCATGCTGGGGTGTCGCGGATGCGACTGGAAGGGGCCCGGGGGGCACATGCTGGGGTGTCATGGATGCGACTGGAAGGGGCCCGGAGGGCCCATGCTGGGGTGTCGCGGTATGACTGGAAGGGGCCCGGGGGGCCCATGCTGGGGTGATGTGGATATTGTCACACGTGCCGTGCTAGCTACCGGCCTGTACGGATGCAGGGGGGGCCCGCCCTTTTTCCGGCTTCGAGGAAGCCGACACCCGACTTGTCACCGTACTGGTGCCGTACGGGTGTTGTACGACATCACGTGCAGGAGTGGCGGCTGTACATCATTCAGGAGTATGCTGACGGCGGGCCGCTGAGGAAGTTGTACGGCAATAAGGCCCTGTGGCCGTCGCCTGGCGTGGTCAACTTGGTGAGAGAGAGAGAGAGAGTATTTGTGGGTTCCGTCGCCATCTGTCTGTCT